TTAATTTATTTTTAATTTATATTTAAAATAATAATTTTTAATAAATATATTATATAATATATTAAATAAAAAAATATGAATTAATGTGCTTTTATATCATACTTGACTCCAGCCCCTAATATAAATTATGTTTCCATATGGTTCCCATTAAAAGGACTTTGGACCACGGCGAGCAGACTTAGGGAAGTCTAAGTCTTCGTCCGTCTTTGTCTTTATCTTTAATAGGTGTTGAAGACCTCTCATCAACCCTCGGAAAAGTGTACCTCATTCATTTAATGTACGTCTTCTTCCACACAAAAAAAAAATCAATCCCTCGAGTCCAAGTAATTCATTTTAAAACCTCCAAGTATTTAGATTTGTTGATTAAAGTTTCAGACTTCATTAATGCGTTGAAAAAAATCCTTTCTCCCTCAAATCGTATAAGGTTAAAAAAAAAATCTCCAAAACGTGTAGGTCCAACTTTATGATCAGTACATAACAGTGTCATAGCCAAAAAATTATATTTTTGGGGCAAAATCAAACATTGTTTAAGAAATGAACTAAAATGTTACAAAATAAATTAAAAAATAAATTATTATTATTCTTATTATTGGACTAAATTAACAAATTTTTACAAGTTTAATGTGCTCGAGACACAGACCCTTTAGCTCCCCCACGGAGTTCGTACCAAGAATTTTGTTTTTTCTTTTAACAAAAAAATTGTATAATCAAGATCTAACCCTTGATTGGGAGTAGTGTTGTCAAAATCGCAATTTAAATCGTAAAATCGTGTGATTTTAGGATTTCAAGTAAGCATTTTTGGTTAAATTGTAGTCCAAATCGAAATTTTGTGAAATCGGAGGGTAAAATCATAAAAGCGTGATTTTACGGTAAAATCGGATAAAATCTTGATTTTACCCCAGTTGAAGAAGGTGGACCATTTTCTCTTGGGCTAATGGGCTTTAACCCAACAACCCTTAAATTAAACCCATTTCTTATTTTAAAAGCCTACAACCACAACCCTCAACCGAACCCAACAACAATTGCACTCTCCAGTCCAGCCAACACATGCTTTTTTATTGGGCCACCTAAGCTTACTTAGCCATGAATTGATGACCTCTCTGGAAACCAACATAACGTGGCCCAATAAAAATGGGAGGGTTGGCTGGAGAGTGGTGTTCCAAGCATTGCTCTTGTTTTTTTTCATATATATATATATATATATAT